ATGTTCTTGGATACACTCCCCATTTCATAGACATACCTAATCTTTCAGCCTGTCCACCCATCTATACACCCATACACCCATGTTTGCCTTCACTGACAATGCAGTACTGTATGTGCAAAAGAGTTCACATTTGTTGTCTGTACCTCCCATGTACCTCTCTATGTCTTTCTCATCCTCAAAGTGCCATATTGGTCACTCACATTTGGTATATTGCCCTTCTCTTCACCCAAATCACTACTTTTCTCTATCTATCTAACAGCGGTCCCTCCCTTCCCCTCCCACCCCTTGTAACCAACAAAGAAAATTTCCTTCTATAGATAAACCTTTCCTTAACTTTTACAGTAATGGACTAACACAATATTAGTCCTTCTGTGATTGACTTATTTCACTCAGCATAATGTCCTCCAAGTTCATCCATGTCTGCCTTTATTTTAGTTCTAAGAGGGAGATTAAGGTGCTAGCAGGGTGTTGACTTGTCATTTTTCCTGTTCTGGTTACTATTCCAGTTCACTCACATTTTACAAATTCGGGTCCATTCTAGTTTCACTTTGTTGGCCATGACTGAACTGGAAAGAACAGGTTTAAAGCCCTGGTTACATGAGAACTAACTGCTATAAAGGATATTATTAGTTCAATTGACAAAAATTGAAATACAGTAAGTTAGATCAAAGAATTGTATCAATACTAAATTTACTGAGGTTGATAAGTATGCAGGGGTTATATAAGAGAAGATCTCTAGTCTTAAGAAATACACATTGAAGTGTTTAGGGATAAAGGGCCATGATGATTTCAGCTTCCTCTAAAATGGTTAATGTGTGTGTGTGTGTGTGTGTGTAGGAGCTCTGGCAGCATAGTGTCTAAAGCATTTGACTGCTAACCAGAAGTCTGGCAATTCAAACCCAAATTCAAACCCACCAGCCACTCCTGGGCAATCTACTTCTGTAGAGATACCACCTCAGAAACCCAAGGAGGGGTCGCTATGAGTCAGAATCAACTTGATGGCAGTGAGGTTTTTTGTTTTTTTTTTTTTTAAATATCAAAAGAAAGCTAATGGTAAAGCAAATGGGGCAAAATGTTAGCAATAGGTGAATTGGGCAGATAGGTGTTCTCTGTACTATTCCTGCAACTTTGCTGTAAGCTTGACGTTATTTCTAAATAAAAAGTGAAAGAATAAACAATGACATATAGCACTCAGAATAGTGTCTGGGAAATTCTCAGAAAATATGAGTGCTCTGTACTCCCTCCTGCAGGAATTTCCATGTCTGGAATGAGTGTTGGATGGTCCGGAAAGATCTCCCACCAGGATACAATGGATGGCAGGTTCTGGACCCCACTCCTCAGCAAACGAGTAGTGGTGAGTGAGGGCAATTTGGAAGGGCCTGGGTTCTTTGGGGAGACTGATAAGGATGACTGACCATGACAGCAGGAATCCTTTCCCCAGAGCCCCTCACTACCCCACCTCTTTACCTCCCACCACCATGACCAGCTGTCCTTCCCAGTTAGCAGCCATGTTCTATAGCTCTTGTTTCCTCCACAGGGCTGTTCTGTTGTGGCCCTGCCTCTGTGAAGGCCATCAGGGAAGGGGAGGTCCACCTTGCCTATGATACCCCATTTGTGTATGCTGAGGTGAATGCTGATGAAGTCATTTGGCTGTTTGGGGATGGCCAAGCTCAGGAAATCCTGGCTCACAACACCAGTTCCATTGGGAAGGAAATCAGCACCAAGATGGTAGGGTCAAACCAACGCCAGATCATCACAAGCTCCTACAAGTATCCAGAAGGTACCTCCAGCCCTGGGATTCTGGGTGAGGGTGGGGGAGGGGGGCCACCTTTTTGTGCTGCCTCCCAACTGGGATGGCTCCCAGGTTAAAACTATTGCCACCTAATTGTCTCTCCTCTCAACTCCCAGAGATTTAGCAAATAAAAATGCAAGATGAAATGTGAATTTCAGATCAATTTAGATAAATGAATAATTTTTTACTATATAAATATGCCCTAAATGTTGTATGGACATACTTTTATGCTAAAAAGTATTCATTGTTAATCTGAAATTCAAATTTAAAACTAGATGTAATTTTTTAAATATAAATATCTCCCATATATTGCACACGCCACTTACATTAAAAATTATCTGCTGTTTATATGAAACAATATGTTCATTGCATTTGTATGGAATGCAAATTTAACTGGACACCCTGTATTTTACCTAGTAACCCTATCCTAGAGTCACACCACAGTCTCCCTGTGTCCACAGCAGTGGGGGTGGCAGGCAGGAAGGAGGTGGTGCTCAAGGATGGAAAGAACACCTGGGCCTATGGAAGTGAGTAGATGTCCAGCGGAGAAGGTCAGAATTGAGTCAGGCTACCTGAGAACTAATCAAGGCTCTGCCCTGTTCTAGCTGTGTAAACCTGGACACGTTCTTACCCACTCTGTGCTTCCACTTTCTCATCTGTAAAATGGGGTAATAATAGTAGTAGCTACCTCAGGAGGCTACTGTGAAGGCTAAGTGAATTAATGCATAGTTAAAACAGTACCTCTGGTACATAGTAATTACTCTAGAAACATTTACAGTTTGGGATAGATTTAGATTAAGCCTATACATTAACTTGTTCCCAAGTACAAAAGGTAAAGATCTATTTAAAAGGATTGCACATATATTTCAGAAATGAAGACATTGATGGGGGGAGAAGCCTTTGGCTTGGATAGTAATGATAATGATGCTGATGATGATATTGAAGACAACAGTGTGCTGAGTGCTTTATATCCAGCAGTGTATTTAATCCAACTTTTTGGCAATTCTGTGAAGCTAGCAGGTATACTTCCTGATTGTAGATGACAGAACTGAGCGCCAAGAGATTAAGGAACTGTGATAGAGCAAAGATTTGAACTCAGAACTGAGTGATACCATGATGCTGTATTGCCTCCCTACCTGCTCTTCATGTGGTTGGGGCTTTGGGAGGGGAGTTGTGGGTAGCTTGTGACTTGAAGAAGTTCATTGATGTTTTTGACCCCTTCCCACGGATGTCTTTCCTGACCCTCCTCTCCCCCAGGATCTCCTGAGGAGCGGTCTGTATTCATGAAAGCCTCCCGGAAGATGCTGGGCCAAAGAAGGGCCTCCTCACCCTTCTTGGATCTGCTGGGGTCAGGGGGCATGCAGTATCAGCCAGCACAGCTACAACTACACCTTGCCAGGACGCCCCAGTGGGGCCAAGACCTGTTGTTGACTCTGCATGCCTGGAGGGTGCCAGACAGAGCCCACCCCCGGGGCCCAATCCAGCTGATGCTACACTTCTGTGCACAGGCCCTCCTGCACAGGGGAGGCATACGGGAGCCTCTCTGGAGGCAAGTGGTGCAATTGAAATTGGACTTCGGGCAGGGTGAGTCTGAGGTAGGCCTGCAACAGCACTGCAGGGAGGGGAGCTTTAGGGACAAAAACAAAGCTGGGCTGGCCCAGCATGATCACAAAGAGATACTGCCCCACCTGCTCCCCATGGAGCAGTGAAGCTATTGTTGGTGGGAAGTCAAATGCTAGATGCTATATCTCTGCTGCCATCTCACCAGGGGAAAACATAACAGTGACCTCTGGGTCAGTCTGTCCAGGGTAAACTCTCACTCACACATACAAACATGCAGATACACTAGTATATTCTTACACACATGCACTCTCACATACAAAGTGTATTTCAACTCTCATATATACACATTATCTCGCTCGCTCACTCTTGCTGAAAGACCCATTCCCTGGACTCAAGATGTTTTTATCTCTGCTTAGAGATACAGTTGCCTCTCCTGCTGCCCTACAACAATTACAGAAATAAGCTAACAGATGAAAAGCTGATCCGTGTGTCTGGCATCGCCAAGGTTGAGGAGACGGGGAGGTCCATGCTGATCCTGAAGGATATCTCTCTGGAGCCTCCCCAGTTATCTATTGAGGTACACTGCTGGCAGTGATGGGGCCCAGAGGATCTCTGACTAACCCAACATTTATCAAGCCCTTGCCAGGGAATGGAAGCCCAGCTGTGGACAGACACAGTCCTGCCTTCAGACAAAATCAATGATTAAAGTGCATTTGGCTGGCACTGTGCTAGATACTGGGACTCCAGAAATAAGTACGGCAGAATCTTTGCTTTCCACTGACAGGACATCCAGGAGAACTATAAGAGCTGCCCCATGATATAGTCCTCACATATGATTCACTAAAGGCACTGGGAAAAACTCAGAGTGTGTTCTGCAGAAGACAGAGCAGTGGGGGGAAAAGATCCTGGGCTGGGGCCTAGGCCACCTGGCTCAGGTCTTGGCTCTGCTATTAACATCATGTGACCTTGGCCTTAGTCTCCTCACTGGCAGAATGAAAGGCCTAAATGATGGTCTGTAGATGGTGCACACATGATACCAATGTCTTACTCCATGTCTGTTACAGATATTTCTAATCAGTCTTGAACCTTTCTGACTCTGGACTGGTCCTGGATATCCTTTTTAACATAGCATTCCTTTTGGCCACCACTACACAATTGGAGCTGAAACTTAAGTTGAAATCTACTTGCCATCCTGAGCTAGATGGAAGAGAGGGAAATAGGTTTCAACTTCCCATTACTAATTGGTGGTGGCTTCTTGGAATATTGTGACCTTCTAAGGCAGGCCAGGATATATGTTAACCTCGAATACTCTCAGCTCATATCCTTCTCTCCCAACTGCAGCATCTTAGCTCTAAGTAGCAGTCCCTGGTAGTCACCAGAGGGATGGAGAAGGGAGGTTATTGAATCAGAGTGCAGAAATGAGGCCAGTTGCTCAAGATGTCTCTGTCTTCTCTCCACACAGGTGTCTGAGAGGGCTGAGGTGGGCAAGGCATTGAGTGTCCACATCACCCTCACCAATACTCAAACAGAGCCTCTGAGTAACTGCACAATGGTGCTGGAAGGAAGTGGTCTCATAGATGGGCAGATATCAAAAGAGTAAGTAACACCACCTGTTGATCTCTCTTACTGTGATCTCTGATGGGTGCTTCCAATTTGGAATAGGGTGCTTCCAAATCATACACCATCTTTAATCTCCTGGATAGTGCCTCCTATCCCCCATTTTCCCACTCTCCTCAGGGAAAGTTGAGCTCAGTAATATTAGAGGGTGAGAGGCACCTTCTCTGAGAGGAATGGTCTGAAAATCAAGTCACCCACCCAAGTGATTACTTCTCAAGGCTCTAACAGGCCCTTTTGGACTTTCAGCCTTGGGACCCTGGTAGTTGGACACACCATCAAAATTCATCTGGACCTCTACCCTATCAAAGCTGGACTCCGCCTGCTACAAGTCTTCATCAGCAGCAATGAGGTCAAGGAGATCAAGGGCTACAAGGACATCTTTGTCGCTGCAGCTAGAGCTTCTTGATACACCCCTAACCCCCCAGCCCCACCCCATCCCACTCTGTACTCTGGAATGTGTTGTCTTTACTCCAGCTCTACTTCTTCTCAGCCTACCTGGGAGTGAATGAAGCTCTGTCAGAACCACTGGGCACCTTAGGAGGAGACAATAAAAGCATCTTTCCTTATCCCAGTGTTCTCTCTCCTGTGCCAGCAAGTCACTTGTGACTACTAGCTCGTCCTCTCGGCCTGGCTGTCAGCCATGTGACAGACTCCTCCCTGCTCTTCCTGTCTGCTCTGTCCTCACCTAAAGGCTCCAATCACAAAATAAGCCCACTGTAATTAAAAAAAAAAAAAAAAAAGTTGCCGTAGAGTTGATTCCAACCATAGTGACTTCATGTGGGTCAGAATAGAACTGTTTGTGCTCCATAAGGTTTTCAATGACGAATTTTTCCAAGGTAGACTGCCAAGCTTTTCTTCCAAGGCACCTCTGAATGGATTTAACCTCCAACCTTTCAGTTAACACCCAAGCATGTTAATTGTTTGTAGCACCCAGGACTCCAAGCCTACCACACAATCACCTCTAAATCAGGCTTTCTGGAGTTAAGTGTCTTTTTTTTTTTTTTTTTAATTGTGATTTGGGTGAAGATTTACAGAGCAAATTCACTGTCCATACAGCAGTTCACATATACTTTGTCTCATGTTATTGACCACAGTTTACCACAGTACAACAGCTCCCCTCCCACTTCCTCCCCATAGTTACCTCTTCCCAGTGTCCATCCCTCCATATATGGAGTTAAGTGTCTTAAGTCTTTTATGTTATTTTAGTGATACTGAGGTTAGAGGGAGGCCTGGGAAAGTGGCTGAGATGGGTTGGGAGAAAAGTGATTGTGTTGCCATGGCAACCAGCAAATGTTGCCCAGGAGGACTTCTCTGCTGCCAGCCTGGGAACATCTGGAATGGTCGGATAGCCACCTTTTAACAGGTATTCATTCAACACACATTAACTGAGGTTCCCAGTGTGACTAGGAAGCACAAGCACTTCCCAGCTGGTGGCTCTCCAACAGGCCCTCCCTTTCCCTGGCCCCTATCTCTCCACCACTCTTGCTTCCCTGGAACTTTCATTGCCTCACGTTCACCCTAGCTCTTTTCAGCCTCTCATCTTCTGTGTTTTTTTTTTTTTTTTTTTTTGTTGTTGTTCGTTTTTATTATCTGAAGGACACAGAGAGGGAGTCACTATTTTGTATTTTTCTCCCTGTTATTATCAAAAGCATCCCATGCTTATTCTAGATAATTTGGAAATTACAGAGACTTGAAAAGGAAACAGACGAAAAATCACTCACAGCTTCCCCCTTGCGGGGTAATCTCTGCTAACATTTTGCTGTATATCATTCTGGTCTTATTTTCTCTATAGTTGTGTTTTTTAACAAGTTATCACTGCAAACTGATACATCTTCATAGAAGATTTAGAAAATCCAGGAACACAGAAAGGAGGGCATCTTGCTGTCAGTTTCAGACATGGGCTCTTGATCCTTGCCCTCTCCTCAACAGCTCTGTGGCTCTGCAAGTTCTTTTGTCTTCTCTTGCCCACTTCCTTCTCTTCTCTGTTTTTCTTTTCTTTGTTTGTTTTAACTTTTATTTCAGTCTTTTTGCCCCAGGTCCTCCTTCTGCCTCCTTTCTATTTTCTCTCTCTGGAGGCCTCAGGCCTCTCCCACTCCAGCTCACACCATCTGCTATGTCTGATAGGAAGGGCAGAGCCTGCACATCTCATGCACCCCACCCAAGATGCCGAGTTTACCTGGTCCATTAGATGCCATTGGTATTTCTGTGTGGCTCCGTCACTGCTTCATCACTGCTGTGTTCAAGGTGGCTCCCTGCCCGCAGGAGAGGGTCACCTGTGCTAGCTCTTGCAGAAATTTAGAACCTTGCTCTTCTGCCAGCTGCCAAGGGCTGGTTCCTCTTTGTTTAGTCACTGCCCCTCCTTCTGGTCACACACAGCACCTGGCTGTGTCACATAAGCAGGGGCGTGGGGAAGCAGGCTTCCTGGGGGCCTTCAAGGGGGCTTCCCAGGGAAATGCTGGATATTAGCCATCTCTGACTTCCCAGTCAGCCTTTCAAATGATTTCTTCTCTCCCCACCTCAAAACTAGTTACAAATTTATATTCTGTAGTGTCTTCTTTTTATGTTTTACTTTTTTTCCACTCAGGTAAGCCTATGTGGTTCTCATTTCCTTACCTTAACAGATGAGTGAGACAGTCTCAAAGATACCTTGAGGGCCTGGAATACAAGGGTTCAAGCCCACTACTGGGGAGCATGCTGATTTAGATCCTGTGTGACCTCTCCTTTATTACCCCCACCTTTCCCTCATCTCATTGCAACCCTGTGAGGAAGACCAGGCCAGGCAGGGCTCCCCACAGATGAACTCTGGCCCAAGGGCCTAGCAAAACAAATGAGTGGGGTGTGAACAGGCAGCAGCATAAACCAGCACCCACATCTGCTGATTCCTGATCTCCATTTACCGGCCCTGTGGTGTTTACGGAGATCCTCACTCTCATTTGCATCTGTGGTTGTCTAGTATCCTTGTGTGATATAAAGCAAAGTTCTGGAATTGAGTCCTGACTCCCAGTAGTCCTTGGTTCTCCCAGGTAAAAATGCTAACAACAATAACAGTAGCACCTTTCCTCATAGGGTTGCTATGAGGATCAGATAAGAAAATGTACCCAAAGGGCTTTGTGTATTGTGAGATATGTTTACACACAGAGGCTATTTAATTACTTCTGCTGGGTGATTGGCTCCATTTCTGATTGTGAGAGAAGGTGGAAGAGAAACCCACTTGGATATATAGTAATGGTTTCCCTTTGTAGTCACCTGTGGAGAAGCTCTTCACTCTCCCTCAGACGGGCAGCCATGGAGTCATGGGCCCAAATCCACAGACAAGGAAACAGAAACTTGCACAAGAGCATACTGGGAATGCGTGGTGGGGCCAGATTAGAACCAAAGTCTCTCTGGCTCTTAGAAATATGTGGAGGCTCTCTACACCTTCCTTGCTAGAGCTGGCTTGCTCTGTGAGGAAGGCAGGGGAGTCCCCACCTCTCCATTCAATCGTCCAGGATCTTCTCCGTACCGGCCCCTAAGGATCACAGCCCTGTTCTGTGTTTCCACACAGAACCCCCTCTTGCTCTTGCTCATCAACTCTGTCTCAGCCCCTGTTTCTCCTCTGCCACTCTCCCTCCTCCCCCAACTCCTGCCAGGGAACAAGTTGCTCTGATCAGAGCTGCCTTTTACCCTCAGCACCATTCCACGACCCCACCCTCTGACTAATGGTTTGCAGGAATCAGATGAAAGGCTGAACCTATCAGTCAGTTCATTATGCCCAGAGCCCAGGTCTTATTCAGCCTCCAGGTCCCATGTGAGGAGCCCAAGCATTTTTCCTGCCTCAAGTGGTACTTCCACCTCCTCTATCCTGCCCAGTGGTTACCTTAGACAAGTCTCCTCAGAGCTCCTCCTGACCTAACAGTCACTAGGTCCATAGGCTCCTTCGGAGACATCTGCCTCCTGGATTCCTGACCAAACCCGTGCCCTCTCCACAAGGTAGTCTGAATTCCTGTCCCCTGCTCCCCATGTGATTTGCCTGGGCTGGCTCCCTTACACCTAGGATAACTTGTACTGAGTGGGTGGTGGAGGCACACATAGCCTGTTCAGGCTGACCCAGGCTGGCCCCTTTGTCAGGACTGCCTGGTATACAACTCCAGGGGCTTCACTCACAGTGGCTTCACTGATGTCTCCGAGATTTTCTAAACGTTTTCTACCCACTCCTGGCTGCCCCCAGGACCACAATGAAACAAGCTGCTTTCCCTGTGGCCATTGAACGCCTTCCTCTTTGGCTTCCTCACCTCTCCAGACCATAGCTGCACTCACCTCCCTACCTCACCTCAAAGTTAAGCTCTACTTTTTATGTCCCTTTCTCCTCCCCAAGCTAGCCCATCTCAGCTAATGTGGTAGTGCTTATGCAGAGGTCATTTTAAAATTCATTCACCTAGTATACCTCATTGCTATGGAGTTGATTCTGACTCATAGCAACCCTATAGGACAGAGAACTGCCCCATAGTGTTTCCAGGCTGTAATCTTTATGGAAGCAGCCTGCCTCCTCCTACAGAGTGGCTGGTGGGTTCCAACTGCTGACCTTTTCGTTAACAGCAGAGCACTTAACACTGTACTCCCAGTGCATTCACCCAGTAGGTGAACCAATATGAACTAGAAAACTGATTATACTTCAGTTACTGCATAAAGCACTAACAAAGCACTTGGGTTCTGGAGGCTGACTACCTGGGTTCAAAATCTGGCTCCACCAGTTCTTAGCAAGTGATCTTGGGAAATTTATTAAATGTCCTTAAGCTTCAAATGGGAGCCCTGGTGCCTAAGGCATTTGACTGCTAACCAGAAGGCTGGAGGTTCAAACCCACCAGCCACTCCTCGGAAGGAAGGTTGAGCAATCTACTTCTGTAGTGATACCCCCTCGGAAACCCAAAGAGGGATCATTATGAGTCGAATCTGACTCAACGGCAGTGAGAAGCTTCAACTTCTTCACCTAAAAATGGGGGAAATAGTATTACCTAACTCATAAGGATGTTATGAAGATTAAGTGAAATAATGCACATGAAGAACTTAAATGGTGTCTGGTATGTAAAAGATCATACTAGTTCTCCCAGTAGTTCTACTATTAGCCATCATCATTTTTAAGCACTGAGGATATAAGACACAGTCCAGGCCTCAGTGGCTCTTAGTTTAGAACACCTTTAAAGTATTTATAATGTCAAAGTATGAAGAGGATGGAATGCAGAAGAGGGAGCCCTTAGATACCTGGTGTGGTAGAAGGAGAGTGTCAGGAAGACTTCCTGGAGGGGTAGTGCTTGAGCCTGGGTTCTGGAGAAAGTAGACAAGTCACAGACCATTTCAGAAGGAGAGAGACCAACATGTCTGAAAGCACAGAGGTGTGGGAGAGCAGAGACCTTGGAGTTCCAGCTGCAGGTGGGGATAGGCAGACACTAAAGGCTTTGAGGGTATTGTTAAGGAGTTTGGGTATGAGCCACTGTTGTGTCTTAAGCAGAGAGCAACGTGGCACTTCAGGTTGGCACTTCCAAAAAAGTCACTCTGGTGACCCATTTGGAGAAGGATCATTGGGATTCTGGTTAGGAGTTGTCCAGGAAAGGCAAAGACTTCAAGCAAGGTGGAGCCAAGGGGCGGGGAGAGGAGGAACCAGATTTTAGGAGTGAATCAGGAGTCAGACTGGACAGGGTTGAATGACTGATGGGTTAAGGGAGGTCAGGAAGATGGAGAAGTACAAGGCAGTGCACAGGTTTTTCCTGGAGTGATTGTGTGAGCACCAAGACCTGCATTACAGGAGGAAGGGCAGGGCTTTTTTTTTTTTTTTTTTTTTTGAGTTTTTTTTTTTTTTGTGGTTTTTTTTTTTTTTTTTTTTTTTTGAGAGGAGAGGGACAGAGTAGAGCTCTATTTTGGTTTGTTGGGTTACAGTGTCCATCAGTGGAGCTGTCCAGCTGGTGGTGCCTATATCCCTGAGGAGATGTGAAGGAAGATCTGGGCATTCCCATAGTTCAGGGGAATCACCAGTGTCATGTGGGAGGTGAAGTTGGGAGGGGTGCGTGTCGAGTGAGTGGGCTCCAGTGTGATTCTCTGGGAAGCACCAGCATGATCGGGAAAAGGGGTCTGAGAAGAAGAGGCAAAGAGGATAGGGAGGTAGGAGGGCAACAGAGAGAAAGAGAAGTCACTTAAGACCAGGAGGACAGCATTTCTCAGAGGAAGTAGAGCACTCAGGGCAGCAGAAAGCCAGCAAATGAGAGTAAAGAGAGTCCTTGATGCTTGATGATCAGAAGGGGTAGGTGAGAGTGGTTTCAAGGGAGTTGTAGGGACAGAAGCCAGATTGCAGTGGGGTAAGGAGTGGAAGACAGAGCAATGGACAAGGGACTTGGCTGAGAGGTGGAGATAACAGAAAGGGCAGGAGCTAGAAGAAGACACAGAGTTAAGGGAGGTTTGATGTGGGTGTGAGTGTGAGTGGGGTTAAGTGAACTGAATACATGCATGTATATACTGGAGTCCCAGGGTGATACAAATGCACTTGGCTGCTAACTGAAAGTTAGTGTTTGGAGTTCAACCAGAGTTGCCTCAGAAGAAAGACCTGGCAATCTACTTGTGAAAAATCAGCCACTGAAAGCCCTATGGGGTACAGATCTACTTTGACACACATGAAGTAGCCATGAGTCAGAATCAACTTGACAGCCACAGGTGGTAACTGGTAATATGTGCACTATAATAGCTGATTAGGGAGATAGAGTTGAAAATACAGGAGGGCTGATGGATGCTGGTGAATGAGCTTCTTTAGGAGAGAGGAGAAACTCAGAAAGCTGAGGGATACAGGGACAAGTGTCCCACAGGAGGGAAAGGCAGAGTGTGGGCAGTGGGGGCAGGTTGCTTACTTCAGTACCTCAACCACTACTTCCCAGAACCCTTTCTACCCTCCTCCCTCTCTGCTACCCATCTGTGCTTATCTCCCCATAGGTCACTCCAAAGACTTTAGTAAGAATACTAGAATAAACGTCCTTGCTGATTGATATTCCCACCTTCTCATGTATGTCCCCAAACTCCATGAATCTTCCCAAGTTTTCTTATTTTACTGTTTTTATCTGAGATTCACTTTGGATTTGGAAAGTCTCACTCAAGACGAGGCAGTCACCAAAAACTAAAATAAAATCATATCAAGGATGAACCAGAATGGCTTCTGTTTGCATTTAATGTCCAGAGAATGACTCTTCATGATAAAAGAGAAGGCTGTGGTGCTGAGGCTCTCCAAGTTGTAAGCTGTTGTCTTGGGACCTCAATTCCCCTTCCTACAGGATATAGACCTTTCCATTCCCTTGGGTCTCCCATCTGGCTCTTCCACTTGGCTCCCCACCATCACACAGCACCTGGCAGGGAATGGCCCATTGCTCAAGATCTCTCAAAGGCACACATGGCAAAGAGCCCCAACAGTTCATTGGATTCCACACCTCCTCTCAGCCAAGCAATGCCACCAAGAAAAACCTGAGGGCAAGTGAGAAAACCAGTTGTAATCTGCCCAGTAAGCAGGTGGAAACAGCTGGGCTCCGCCTTCAGTGTCTCCTGGAGTCTGTGGGATGGAAGGGGAAGTACACACTCCAGGACCAGTTTCCTAAGCTCCAGTCTACTCAGCTATTCTGTGGGGAGCAAACTGGGAGCTGGAGGAAGCCGCCATGGCACAAGGTAAGGAAGAATGCTGGAGAGTAGGGACTAGGAAAACAGATAGAGACGGTGGGAAATCAGGGGGAAGTGGAGTCAAAGGAACAGAGGAGAAGAAAAGAACTGAGGAAGGAAAAGTGAAAGCCCCAGAGACTTCAGAATTAGTGGTGGCCTGAGAACCAGGAGACAAAGTGGAGGCCAGCAGGTGAACATAGCTGAAAAGCCTCATGCCAAGATACCTACTTCCACAGGTGGTGGGATAGGGCAGGAGCAGGGGTTAGGGTGTCAAAGCTCCTGTCCTTCTCTGCCACTAGCTGACACTTTGACATTGGGCAAGTCACTTCCCCTCTGATTGCCACTCCTTCTCCCTGAAAAATGGAGGAGGTTGGATAAGATAATCTTGAAATTGTATTTCAGCTCTAAAAGTCTCTGAACTTTCATATTTTTCCTTCTTGACCCACTTCAGAGGGTCAAATCTGTTACCCATTTTGGCTAATCTTTCCACTACTCCTTTTCCCTCTATGCATGTCATCATCCTCTCTTTAGAAAGAGCTGCTTTGAATATTAAATAGTTATTTGAGACCACTTATAGGAAGGCACTTTCACTTGCTCTAGGAGTGTCATTTACTCTTATTATTAAAGCCTAACTTTCATTTATAATTTTTTTGTGTTTATAATTTTATTTCTAAATTTTTATGATTTTTAATTACACAAGAAATATGTGAATACATAGTTGGTGTAAAATAAATCGATAAAGAACTACAGTCCTGTGACTGCCAACCCCAAACCCAGCCTCATCTCCACTGTTACCAGTCTCTTGCTACACACTTCTATTCATATATGTATTCAATGCATTACATAGGATTTGACTGTGGTGTGTGTGTGTGTGTGTGTGTATAATGTGTACATAAAAAAGTATATATATTATGCATATATACAAATCCTAAAGAAGCTCTGGTGGCATGATGGTAAGGCATTTGGCTGCTAACCAGAAGGTTAGTGGTTCAAATCCACCAGCTGCTCCATGAGAGGAAGATAAGGCAATCTACTTCTGTAAAGATTTACTGCCTTGGAAACCCAATGAGGGTAACTATAAATCAGAATGGACTTGATGGCAGTGGGTATGTAGCTCTGGTAGCATAGTCCCTAAGACATTTGACTGCTAACCAGAAGGCTGGCGATTCAAACCCACCAGCCACTCCTCGGAAGGAAGGTTGGGCAATCTACTTCTGTAGTGATACTGCCTCAGAAACCCAAGGAAGTGTCGCTATGAGTCAGGTCCGACTCCAGGGCACATAACAACAACAACAATTATATATATATATATATATATATATATATATTTATATAGAAATGCATAGGCTTGATTGTGTGTGATATATATATATGTGTGTGTGTGTATGGTATCATCATATTATACATACTTTTCTACAACTTGATTTTTTTTTTTTTACTCAATAGTATGTCTTGGAGCTATAACTAGCCACAGAGTACCTACAGATCTACCTCAGTGTTTTCCACCTTGCTTAGTATTTTCATAGTACAAATGTAGGTAACTGAGTTATCCAATTCCCTATTGATAAGCATTTAAGCCGTTCCCCTTTTTCAGTTATACAAGCAACGTTGCCACAAACATCCTTACTCATGCCTCTGTGCTCACACGAAGGTATTTTTTCTAGGACAGATACTGAGATCACTTACTGTAAATGTGCTTCCTATAACTCCTTTATAACTTCCAGTCATTTCACCCCATGCTCTCCTGGCATCATGGAGCTTAACATTAAACATGTACCTCCTATTTGGATATCTGGTGTCTGGGGTGAAGAATAATCCCTGTATTATAGGCGGAGATAAACTTGACTTCATGATGTATATAGAGGATGAGACTTAACCCCAGTGGCCAAATCAGAGGTATGTCAGTTAGGTGTTGCCATACCTGATGGGTATTCTGGGTCTGACCAAATTGGACTAGTGTTCCCTCTAGTCTATTAATCTCCAAGAAGAGCTTCTTTTTCTACTACTAGAAAAAAGCCAACACTTTCCCAACCAGAAGTGGGGGAAAAAGTCCTTTCTAATCATGAGGGAAGGCCTCATGGTAGCTGTTGAGTAATGGAAAGAGCACAGGACTTGCGTCAATAAGCCCGGGCTTGACCTTAGGCAAGACATTTAATCTATCTGAACTTTATTTTTCTCATCCTTAAATGTGGATGGCATGACATTTCTTTCCTTCAAAGTTCTGGTGAGGATTAAATGGTTAATGTCATTTGCTTTGATTTCTTTCAGTGATGTTTTGTGGTTTTCAGTGTACAAGTCTTGCATGTCTTCTGTTGAAATTATTCCTAAGTACTTTATTCTTTTTGATATCATAAATGGAATTTTTCAAAATTTTATTTTTAGATTGTTCATTCCAAGTGTTATTGTTTGCCATCTGGTTGGACTCAACTCATAGCGACCCCTCTTTGGGTTTCTGAGGCAATATCACTACAGAAGTGGATCGCCCAGCCTTCCTTCTGAGGAGTGGCTGGTAGGTTTGAACCATCAGCCTTCTGATTAGCAGTCAAGTGCCTTAGGCACTACACTACCAGAGCTCTTATTCCAAGTGTATAGAAATACAAGTGATTTCTATATACTGATCTTGTATCCTGTAACCTTGCCGAACTCTTTTAATAGTTCTAATCTAATACATTTTTTATATTTTGTGGATTCCTTAGGAATTTTTAGCTACAAGATTTGACTGTGGTGTGTGTGTGTGTGTGTGTGTGTATAATGTGTACATAAAAAAGTATATATATTATGCATATATACAAATCCTAAAGAAGCTCTGGTGGCATGATGGTTTCATCATGACTACAGATAGTTTCAATTCTTTGCTTTCAATCTGGATACCTTTTAAGTATTTTCCTCGCCAAGTTGTACTAGCTAGAACTTCTAGTACAATATTGACTAGAAGTGGTGAGACTGGGCATCCTTGCCTTGTTCCTGATCTTAGAGGGAAAGTGTCTTGTGTTTAATCAAGTATGATGTTAGCTGTGGGATTTTCTTAGATGACCTTTTTCAGACTGAGGAACTTCCCTCTACTCCTAGTTTGTTGAGTATTTTTATCATAAAAGATATAGTATTTTGTCAAAGCTTTAGTTCTTATTTTAAAAAACTTAAATACAGACAAGATAAATAGGTTGGTCTCTGTCTTCATGGTTTACACCTAGTGGTAGAAGACAAAGAAAAAAGTAAGAAAAATATCTGAGCCCCTCATGCTTAGCCTGCAACAGTAGGCCTCTTATAAAGGTGTGTTGATATAAATAAATAAATGAGCATGTCAATTAAGCAGTCGAGGTTACCTAAGAGTGATGTAGCTTAGTGCTGTAGATCAGTGGGAGATGGAAAGAGTGTGGACCAATTAGAGGAAAGCTTCATGAAGGAGGTAGGTCTTGAATAGGCCTTGAAGAACAGGTGGAATTAGGTTAGATAGTGGGGTGTATTCTGAGTTGGAGCTATATTGTTGTTGTTGTTGTTAGGTGCTGTTGAGTTGGCTCCTATCATAGTGACCCTAGGTACAACAGAAAGAAACACTGCCCAGTCCTGTGCCAGCCTCACAATCCTTGTCACACCTGAGCCCATCATTGCAGCCACTGTGTCAATCCATCTCGTTGAGGGCCTTCCACTCCACTTCACCAAGCACTGTATCTTTCTCCAGGGAATGGTCCTTTCTGACAACATGACCAAAGTAGGTGAGACCAAGTCTGGCCATTCTCAGTTCCAAGGAGCATTCTGGCTGTACATCTTCCAGGACAGATTTTTTAGTTCTTTTAGCAGTCTATGACACTTTCAGTATTTTTCGCCAACACCATAACTCAAAAGCATCAATTCTTCTTCGATCTTCCTTGTTCATTGTCCAGCTCTCACATGCAGATGAAGAGACTGAAAATACTGTGGCTTGGGTTAGGCACACCTTAGTCTTCAAGGAGACATCTTTGCTCTTCAGCACTTTAAAGAGGTCTTTTTCAGCAGATTTGCCCAGGGCAATATATCATCTGATATCTTGACTGCTGCTTCCATTGGTGTTGATTGTGGAACCAAGTAATATGAAATCTTTAACAACTTCAATCTTTTCTCCATTTATTGTGATGCTGCTTATTGGTCCAGTAGTGAGGATTTTCATTTTCTTTATGTTGAGGTGTAATCCATACTGCAGACTGTAGTCTTTAATCTTCATCAGTAATTGCTCCAAGTCATCCTCACTTTCAGCAAGCAAAGTTTTGTCTTCTGCATATCGCAGGTTGTTATGAGTCTTCCTCCATTCTGATGACACCAAAACCAAAAAACCAAACTCACTGCTGTCGAGTTGGATCCAACTCATAGTGACTCCTCCTTGGGTTTCCGAGGAGGTATCACTACAGAAGTAGATTGCCCATAGTCCAGCTTCTCAGATTACTTGTTCAGCATACAGATTGAATAAATATAGTGAAAGACTACAACCCTGATGCACTCCCTTCCTGATTTGAAATCATGTGGTATCCCTTTGTTCTGTTTGAATGACAGCCTCCTGGTCTGTGTGCAGGTTCCTGATGAGCACAATAAAGTGTTCTGGAATTCCCATTCTTCTCAATGTTATCCATAATTTGTTATGATCCACACAATCAAATGCTTTTGCATAGTCAATAAAACACAAGTAAACATCTTTCTGATATTTTTTGCTTTCAGCCAAGATCCATTTGACATCAACAAATATATCCCTCATGCCATGTCCTCTTCTGAATCCAGCTCACATTTCTGGAAGTTCTCTGTCAGTATACTGCTGCAACTGTTTTTGAATTATCTTCAGGAAGATTTTACTTGCATGTGATATTAATGATATTATTTGATAATCTCCACAATCTGTGGGATTCTTTGGAATGGGTACAAATATGGATCTTTTCTAGTCAGTTGGCCAGGTTAGATGTCTTCCAAATTTCTTGGCATAGCCAAGTGAGTGCCACTAGCTCGGCATCCATTTGTTGAAACATCTCAGTGGGTATTCTGTCAATGCCTGGAGCCTTGTTCTTCGCCAATTCCTTCAGTGCAGCTTCGACTTCTTCCTTCAATACCATTGGTTCTTGTTCATATGCCATCTCCTGAAATGGATGAACATTGACCAATTCTTTTTGGTGCAGTGATTCTGCGTATTCCTTCCATCTTCTTTTGATGTTTCCCACATCATTCAATATTTTGCCCATAGAATCTTTCAGTATGGCAACTTGAGGCTTGAATTTTTTCTTCAGTTCTTTCAGCTTGAGAAACGCTGAGCATGTTCTTCCTTTTTGGCTTTCCAATTCCAGGTCTTTCTTTGCACGTTTCATTATGATAATTGACTTTGTCTTCTCAAGCTGCTCTTTGAAATCTTCTGTTCTGCTCTTTTATCTTGTCATTTCTTTCATTTGCTTTAGCTACTCTGCATTCAAGGGCAAGTTTCAGAGTCTCTTCTGACATCCATTTTGGTCTTTTCTTCCTTTCTTGTCTTTTTAATAACCTTTTGCTTTCTTTGTGGATGATGTTCTTGATGTCGCCCCACAATTTCTCTGGTTTTCAGTCACTGGTGTTCAGTGCATCGAATCTATTCTTTAGATGGTCTCTAAATTCAGGAGGGATATCATCAAAGTCATATTTTGGCTCTCATGCACTTGTTTTTATTGTCTTCAGCTTCAACTTGAGTTTGCATATGAGCAGTTGATTGTCTGTTCCAGTCTTCTCCTGGCCTTTTTTTTTTGTCTGAAGATATTGAGCTTCTCCATCACCTCTTGCCACAGATGTAATCCATTTGATTCATGTGTACTCCATCTGGTGAAGTCCACATGTATAGCTGCCACTTAAGTTGTTGAAAAAAGGTATTTTCAGTGAACAAGTCATTGGTCTCACAAAATTCTATCATGCAGTCTCCAGCATTATTTCTGTCACCAAGGCCATATTTTCCAACTACTGGTGATTCTTCTTGGTTTCCAACTTTTGCATTCCAACACCAGTGATAATTAAGACATCTCGATTGCATTTTGGTCAATTTTAGACGGCAGAATTTCATAAAAATCTTCAATTTCCTTGTCTTTGATTGTTGGTGCATGAACTTGAATAACAGTAGTATTAACTGATCTTCCTTGTACACGTATGGATATTATCCTATCACTGACAGCATTGTACTTCAGGATAGATCCTGAAACATTCTTTGTGAAGATGAATACCATACCATTCCTCTTCAATTTGTCATTTCCAGCATAGTAGATCATATGTTTGTCTGATTCAAAATGGTCAAAAACAGTCCATTTCAGCTCATTAATGCCTAGGATATCAATCTTTAGGTGTTCCATTTCATTTTTGACAACTCCCAATTTTCCTAGATTCATACTTCATACATTCCATCTTCCAATTATTAATAGATGTTTGCAGTTGCTTCTTCCCATTCTGCATCATGCCACATCAGCAAACGGAGGTCCTGAAAGCTTTACTCCATCCACATCACTAAAGTCAGCTCTACTCTGAGGAGGCAGCTCTTTCCCAGTCATATTTTGTGTGCTTTCCAACCTAAGAGGCTTGTCTTCTGGCACTATATCAGACAGTGTTTCAGGGCTATTCATAACGTTTTCCAGTAATATATCAGACATTGTTTTACTGCTGCTCATAAGGTTTTCACTGGCCAGTTCTTTGACAAGTGGGTGGCCCCTTCCTTCTACCAAGTCTGTCTTAGTCTGGAAGCTCTGCTGAAACCTGTCCAGCATAGATGGCCCTGCTGGTATTTGAAACACTGATGGCGTAGCCTCCATCCTTATGGCAACACACAAGCCACCACAGCACAACAAACTGACAGACGAGTGGTGGAGTTGTAACTATAGGAGGAACAAAATACATAGTCAGATAGGGGTGCCATTTGTTCAGGGTAAGATTGGCTAGAGGAGAGGACACATGATGGGTGTGATGGGAGATGAGAATGCAAGAGTTATTGAGGCTAGGTATGGAAAGCATAAATATCAGGTTAAAGAGTGTGTCTTCTATACTGTGGGCTGTAGTTATCTCTGAACTTCGAAAGCAAAAGGATGACCAGATGAAATTGTCTTGAGGAAAGGTAATCTGGTGATGTGTTGATGGTAGAGTGATATGAAGAAAGACAGGATGTGGGAGATCTGATGGAGGCTGTTAAAGTCACTAAATGTGAGGCAAGGAGATTAAAATTACATTGAGTGTGGAAAGGGATGGCTGGACACCAGAGATGTTTCAATGGAAAGAGTGAAGGGACTTGGTGTCACATGAGTGTATACAGGCTGGAAAGGAGATAGGTGAGCCACTTGTGATTCAAAAGTGTGAGCCCACGGGACCATAGTCACAGGGGACATCAAGCTCAATTGGCATAACATACTACACAAAACATTGGTCCACCTCCTACTTTGGTGAGTAGGGACTGGGATCTTAAAAGCTTTCAAGAAGCCATCTAGATGCAATGATGGGTCTCTCCTCATCCAGAACAAAGAAGAATGAAGAAAAGCAAAGATTCATGGAAACAATTAGTCCTGGTGACTGGTACACCATGCAATCCGCAGCCTATATAACTATGAGACCAGAAGAACTAGATGGTGCCCAGCTACCACTGTCAACTGCTTGGAGGGGGATCTCTGTAGGAGATCCTGGATAGAGAGGGAGAACAATGTGGAACAAAATTCAAAATTATTTGGAAAAAAAAAAAGGAGACGAGGTTTGCTGGTCTGATAGAGCCTGGTGGAACCACTGAGACTATGGCCTCTAGCTGCCCTTCAGGTCTGGAATTGAACCCACACCTGTGGCTTCCAGACAAACAAAAGATAGGCATATGAGTTGACCATTTACCTGAGGTAGATCCATTCTTTGGAGAGAACAATCATGGGAGAAAGAAGAGCTATGTATGCACAGGGAGACAGCTCAGGGGGCAGGAGGTGGTGGACACAGGAAAGAGGTAACTATGGGGAGGAAGTGGGAGGGGAGCTGTTACATTGTGGTAAGTTGTAGTCAATGTCATGAGACAAAGTGTATGTGAACTGCTGTATGGAAAGTGAATTTGCTCTGTAAATTTTCACCCAAATCACAATAAAAAAAAAAAAGAAAAGAAAAGTGTGAGCCCAGGTGCCTAGGGACCTTTACAGGGTTGTAGTCAGACATGGAGAAGTTCAGAATGGAGTCCTGTTGAGGGAAGCTCAGTTTGGGAAGAGTGAAGTCAGTCTGTTTTAGCAGAAGTTCTAAAAGGCTGAAAGTGGGCCTTTCTTTGACTGTCCTCAGCATCCCAGTTCCCAGGGTATTGCGCACATGACCCAGGGACAGCTAACCCAGGGGCAGCTAACCCAAGGACAGTTAACTCAGGGACTTGCTCCCACATCTGGACACTAGAATGGGACAAAAGAGATTGTTAACTTCAGTCAAGAAAGCAGAATCCAGGATGAATCTGGAGATTGCTGGACTGAAAGGAGCAAACAAACTGGCCAGGCCTGCAAAAGAGTTGGACAGAAGCAGGAAACTATGGTCCTCAGGGATGGCTTCAGGGAGAAGGATGTGGAGGGTCAGAGAAACAAGGAAGGAAGGGGTGAAAGGAGGAAGGCAGAAGTATGGAGCCTCATTTAATCTTCGTACTCACCCTGTAAGGCTGGTGTTATGGACTCTATTTTACTAATTTGGAAACTGAGGCTCAGAGAAGCTAAGTAACTTCTCAAGTTTGTGCAACTAGTAAGGGGTGGACAGGATTAGACTGGCTCCAAATCTCTATTCTTTTATCTGCCCTGGGCTGACCCCAACTCAGGACTGGAGGTGGCTCTCATAGACCTCCAAAGCTCCTGGAACAACGTGCAGCACCACACTGAGGAAATCACCACTGACCGTCTCCTTGTTCGCCGGGGCCAGGCCTTCAACATCACCTTGTACTTCAGAAACCGGTCCTTCCAGCCAGACCTAGACAACATCATCTTTGTGACTGAGACTGGTGAGGATGCCAGCTGGGTCTCAGGCTGTGTGTGTGTGTGTATGTGTGTTGGGGGAGTAGTGGGTACCTTGAGACTGAGAGGTCACCACAGACAGCCTCAGCTCTTCTTCTCTCCAGGCCCTCTGCCAGACCTGGCCAAGGGGACTCGAGCAGTGTTCAGTCTAGCAGGTCGTGGTGGCCGCAGCCCCTGGATTGCCTCGCTTGAGACCAAAGGGGCCAACTCCCTGGAAGTGAGCCTCTATGCCCCTCCTATGGCAACCGTGGGTCGGTACCTCCTGAAGATTCACATTGACTCCTTCCAGGGAGCTGTCACAGCCTATCAGATTGGGGAGTTCATCCTGCTCTTCAATCCCTGGTGCCCAGGTAAGGAAGGGAGACCATGCATGGGAGTCCCTCTATGTCCGTCAGTGCTGGCACAGAGAGCTGAGCTTAAGGATTTCTAGACCTCTGCTCCCTGGCCACCCACAAACCTCCTCATAATCCCAGGGACTCAGTGAACACTCAACCACCAACAATCAGGACAAGGCGACCTTGCTATTTAGTCACATATTTAGAATTTTTAAATTATAAACCAAGTCGTCTTTACTTAAAAATAACACTATTACAATTAAGTTTGACTATTGTTACCTTTTGACTTTCATCATATATTTTTAAGGTATTTGAGTTTTTTCATTATGAAAGTGATATATGTACACTATATTGCATTGAATATTTATTTAATGAGTAAATAAATAAATAGAAGGTAAAAGTAAACAATAGAAAGGTATAAAGTAAAAAATAAAACCTTTTCCCTAACTCCCCCAGTTCTGTTTTCCAGAGGAAACCACTGTTAACATTTTCTGGTGTAGGCTTATAAAAATTTCCTATGCTTAATCAAATGACACATGAGATGCTATAAAACAGTTTGCTCTCCGTATCTGCAGGTTCTACATCTGTGGATTCAACCAACTGCAGATCAAATATATCTATATATCTATATATATAGATATATATAGATAGATATTTAAATTCCAGAAAGGTCCAAAAAGCAAAACTTGAATTTGCTGCATGCTGAGAACCAGGCTGAATCCATGCCAGTGAAATGATGTGGAGGTGTACCCTGCTGTAGCCTCCTGCCATTTCACAGATTCACATTTCCTCTCCAGCACTCATTTCAGCATTGTTCACCTTAAATCTCATCTGTTTGCTACTTGTGTTGTGTGTACCCTTTGTTTCTGTAGAAAGATGGCTCCTGAAAAGCAATTAAGTGGTCAAAGCAATCCTTCAAAAGCTATAGGGGAGCATAAAATACTATTTACATTGTATTACATATTATAAATAATCTAGAGATGATGTAAAGTATATGAGAGGACATGCATAGGTCATATGCAAATGTTTTGCCATTTTATATAAAGAAATTGAACATCTTCGGATTTTGGTATCTGCACGGGGTCCTGGAATCATCCCTAACAGATATTGAGGGATGTATATACCATTCTTCAATCTGCTTTTTTTTCATTTAACAATTCAACTTTGGGTATATTTTCCTATCAGTATATTCTTTTTAACAGCTACAATTATTCCACTGTATGGATGCACCAAATGTATTTAACTAGTTCCCTATTTATGGGCATTTAGGGTATGTCCAGTTTTTCTTTGTTTTATGCAGACAAAGTTGCAGTGAATAACCCTGCTGTTATGTCTTTAAACAATTCTGAGAATATAATTGTAGGGTAAAATTTTGGAAGTAAATTTGATAATTCAAATATAAATTTTTATAGATACAACCAAATGGCTCTCAAAAAAAAATCCAATATACACGATCTCCTACATCATTAGGTGCTGTCCAGTTGATTTTGACTCATAGTTACTCCATGTGACAGATTAGGACTGCCCCATAGGGTTATCTAGGCTGTAATTTTGGAAGCAGACCACCAGTTCTTTTGCAGAGCCACTGGGTGGGTTTAAACCACCAACTTTTTTTCTTTTTTTTTAATATAACAGCTTTTAATGTTGTTTTCATTGTCATTGTGTCTCCATTTTAGATTAGGAAAGTGAGACAGAGAAGCTAAGCAAACTAACTAATAAATGAAAAAGCCAGAATATAAACCCCCTACTTGAACCACCAAAGGACCTCTGGTGGCGCAGTGCCTAAGGCATTTGACTGCTAACCAGAAGGCTAGCGGTTCAAACCACCAGTCACTCCTCGGAAGGAAGACTGGACAATCTACTTCTGTAGTGATACTGCCTCAGAAACCCAAGGAGGGGTCGCTATGAGTTGGATCCAACTCCACGGCAGTGCGTTTTTTTGTTTTGTTTTGTTTTTTTGTTTGTTTTTTTAATCAGCAACATTTTGGTTAGCAGATGAATGCTTAGCCATTTGTACCATAATCAGCATATTACAAGTTATTTAATTTAGGTGGTATCACTACGTAAGTAGATTGCTCAACCTTCCTTCTGAGGAGTGGCTGGAGGGTTTGAACCACCAGCCTTCCAGTTAGCAGTCAAATGCCTTAGACACTACGCCACCAGAGCTCCCAATTCATGCAGAAGAAAAGAAAGGAGAGAGAGAGATGAAAACTAATACTTATTGTTCACCTACTTTGAGTTAAATGATTACTAATCATGTTCGCATATGTTAACTAACCTAATTGTTCCAAAAACCCAGAGTAGTAGATGTGTCCCCATCTCACAGATGGGGCAACTGAGGTTCAAAACAGTTATGTGATGCCAGGGCTTACAAGCCCATTTCTCTACCTTACCTAAATTGTCCTTTATGGAGTATCAGGGGAAGGCAGGAGAAGATCATCAGCCCCATCCACTCAGCTTGGGTGTTTTTACAAGCCTGAGTCCCACAAGGCTTTTCCTCTAAATCTACCCAGTATGGGGGGGGGTGTCTGTCTGTCTGTCTGTGTAGATACTTAGACAGACATAAGGATATGGTGTGGGCAGAATGAAGCACAAGCCAGGAAGAGAGGGAGGGAAGAACAGGAGGAGGAGAACATAGAGGAAAGGCAGAGGCCAGCGTCAACAAAGTCTCCCTCCTGACTTAGAGAACGCTCCCCTTCCCATCCCTCCTCACTCTACTTTCTCCTCCGACTTTATCCAAAGATGGCCTGTTGGATGATGTCAGGACCCTGGCTGACACTCCAAGCACCTCCTATCTCCTGTCACTGAATGGCTCAGAACTCTCATCTACTAACTTGGTGAAGGGGATTGTCAATCTGAACCAAAGAGAACAGGATCTCTGTTCTCTCTGTATGTCTCTGTTCACTCCTTTCTCTCTCTCTCTCTCTCTCTCTCTCTCACACACACACACACACACACATACACACCATCCTGTTCTGCAAGGGAGATCAGTAAGATCTAGGGATTAGTAAGAGTCAGGATCAGCAGCTGCCTCATCACCATGTCCAACATACTGGTTGAGAAACCCCACCCTGGGCCACTGCTGTCCCAACCATAAGGAAAGATGTGGTCAACCATGAACCTTCAGCGTCTCGCCATATAAATCCAAAACTTCAATAAAAGTCATCTCTGCAAGGAATCCTCCTCCACCAGTATCCTGTTAGGCTGTGTTGGAGACTGCCTCTGAGAAGGAACAGAGACTCTCAGTTCAGGGTCAGGCAGGGCTCTCAGCAGTTCCAGGGGTACTGCAAAGAGGACACTTGGCCTCGTGGCCTTTTGTTTGCTTTAATTTTAACAAGACAATTTCTATATCATAAAAGCAGCACACGTTCATTATGGAAACACTAGAGAATGACAATAGGCTAAATGAAAACTGATACAGACAACTATTTACATCTTTTGGAATAGGCTTCAAAATCCATAGTTCATATGTATTTAAATAAAAGTCAATTCATATTTTACACATTATTTTGTAACCTATTTAAACTTAATATATTATGTATATATTTCTCTGTATATATAATTTTTCAACATCATATTAACACTGTGAAGAATTCTGTGGTGAAGATGTATACCAGTCCCTATTAGCAGGGTATTTAGGTAATTTCCAGCTTTTCAGTATTATAAACAGCACTCAGATGAACAGTATAATATATAAGTATTTCCACACATCCTAAGTACTTTCCTTAATCAAAATTTCCCACAAAAGAAATGATTAGGTCAATGCAAATTCTCATTTGTTTTTTTCCAAGTAGGATTTGGTAAGTATAGCAGAAAGAGCATGGGATATGGAGTTCCATGAGTTCTGTATTCAAATTTAAGCTCTGTACTTATATGTGATATGGGAAAGTCACATAGCCACTCTGGGCCTGTTTTCTTAATCTTAATATGGGGCTATGATGTAAAGTGTTTTGTAAATTAAGAGATTCCACCAAAGGCAAACTTTCATTATTCTATCATACATTCTGTCACTGGTGTTGAGGTGTGGTAGAAGTGGATCTCTCCAAGGCTCCCCTGGGTGTTGCCCAGTGTCCTTCCCAGAGCTCAGTTTCCATGGGACCTTCTGAAGATGGGGATGATACAGGAAGGGCAAGATGACTTTTCTCTCTTGTGTCTCCCACTTTGATTCCTAGAGGATGCTGTCTATTTGGACAGTGAGCCTCAGAGGCAGGAGTATGTCATGAACGATTACGGCTTCATCTACCAAGGGGACAAGAACTGGATCCGTCCATGCCCTTGGAACTTCGGACAGGTGACTCTCAGCCCCGCTAATGGCCTATGCATACCCATAGGGACAAGAGAGAGGAAGCAGGGTAGCAGAGGGTGCCCTTTACTCAAGATTTACCTAGAACTGATGGCAAATGGTAACTAAATTAAATTAGGAAAATGTGGGATGTAATCACAGGAACTAGGGAAGCAACGACGGGAAGTGGTAAGGTCCGTTCTTTGCTTATTATGTCTGAATTGGACAACAGGATCTAAGGAGAAAGGGCAGCTAAAGGCACCCCTAAGTAACTCCACTGAATATGAGGGTGAGGATGAAATGGACAGTGACAACAGTGATGATGGTGGTGTCTGATATTTTTAATTGTGTTTCCAGTGGGACCCCATTTTCCACTCTCTCCCCTTATTCTCACAACCCCAGGTGAAACTCAGATTTATCTTGTTGTCCATAGTAAACATAGAAAAGCAGGGCTGATGAGCCCTCCCAATTACTATTATCTTTGTATTGATTTGTTTGTTTTGATTATATGTCTTTTTCATTACAAAGTAATACGTGATTGTTTAAAAACCTTTTTGAAGAATTATGACAAAAATGGACATCTAGAACATGAAGGTCACCCTAAGCACTGTCACCAACTTGATGTATGTTCCTCTACATTGTATTTTCTATACATATTCCAAAACATATTATTTCATTTGTAAAAATCTGGATTCTCTGTGACTTCTGCCTTTATAAAAAGTCCACCTCTCAGTTAAAGCTCGACCCATAGCAGATGCTCCAGGAAGACCAGTGAAAGATTTGAGGAGAGGGTGCTCTGGCTGAGCCCTGGCACCAGAATACTGTGGGGAGGGAGAGGATCAGCTGGGAGTTCCTTGTGGAGCTTTGTTTCAGTTTGATATGGGTTCCTTTCCTAGCCTTGACCAGATAGAACTCTGATACATATGGTCTTCAGGCCCAGCCTGGGCCCCAGTTTGTCTATAGCTAAGATGAGACATGGTAGCCTCAATTGCCCCCATATGACAGTCCCAACTGCTCATTCATCATGGACAGATTGGAGGTCAAGGAGAGCCCTTGAACAGGAGTTTGCTGTCATCTGCAGGAAACAGAAGTGAGCAGTTGCTGCTTTCTGAGCCCCATTTCTTTGCCTTACTCTTTGTCTTTCTTTTTTAGTATATTGAATGTCTGCTCAGCACCAGGAAGGGTGCTAGGTGCTGTAGATATAAAAATGAATAAAACATTGTCCCTGATCCCACAGCATAGTGGGGACATATATGTAAGTCACTTACCAAACTTGTGGTTGGATATGTAAAGATTGACAGAAGGATAAAGGGGGTTTTGGGAGTCTGGAGGAAGAATATTTAGTTAGGCATGGGGGTCACTGGGAGAAGTTTTCTGGAAGAGGAGTTGGTGTCTATACTGAGTTAGCCAAGTAAAGGGAGGATGGAAGAATATTACAGGCAGATGGAAGGCTTAAGCAAAGACACAAAGATCAGAAATGGTATGGCCTGCCATTGGTGTTACAAAGAGTCTGATATTGCTGGAGCAAAAATGGTGAGGCAGGGGCTATTGAGACATGAGACTGGAGAGGTAGGTGGTAGCCAGATCAGGGAGGGTCTTGCCAGCCTTGTAAGAGGTTAGAGTATTGGTTCTCTAGGACATAAGGAGCCTTTGAAAGCTTTAAAGCAAAGAGTAAACTGGTTAGATTCTTCCATGGGGAAGATGTATCAGGGAAGCCTCCAAATTCTGTCACTCAGTTTATATGGAAATAAATCCATTCATTCACACTGATACAACAAAGATGTATGGAATCTCTGCTATGTGCTGAGCACTAGGCTAGGTCTGGGATCTAGATCTGTGAAAATGAATTGTAGATTGGCAGAGTGCACACTCAGGAGGGGAAGACAGTCAGTCTTCAACTGCATCACTATAACTGAGTCTGATGAGTAGAGGGGACATACCCAGCAGCACTGTGGAGCTAAACAAGGCTCAGCAAGGTCTCACTGGAAGTGGCACTCATGTCAAGCCTGAAGGGCAAGGAAGAGCCAGCATGCCTTGGGTGGGAAGTTTCCATAACTCATGTACAATTAAACAGTCTAGAGCCCCACTGAATCATGGGTGCTGTAGCAAGTTGGTGCCATCACCTCAGTAATAGTTGCCAGTCATGAGCTAGGTCAGCAGATGGGTGTGGAAGATGAGGCAATGTGGTTTTTAGTAAGAATATGCCAGGGGTTCTAGGAGTGCAGAGACTGAAGAGAGGAGAGGGAGAGACAAACTTTTCAGCAAGTCAAGTTTGTTGGGAAAAAAACAAAATAAACCAACAGAACCAGCAGTAGCAGCAATTTTTTCCAAATGAAAAGCATGGAGTTTGACTTGCAGGGCAAGCTTTGAAGCCCTGACCTGCTTAAGATGTAGTTAATGGCCATTCTGCTTAGCACAGTTACCTCCCAAATGAATCTGAATTCTGTGAACCCACTTCATCAGAGAGCGGATCATGTATTTCTACTCATAAACCCATGTGCCAGGCATAGGCCCCTGCCTCATCTCTCTGGCTCTGCCCTTGTAGTTCGAAGAGAGTATCATAGACATCTGCCTGAAGCTGCTAGACAAGAGCCTGAACTTCCAGATTGACCCAGCCACAGACTGCGTCCTACGTGGAAGTCCTGTCTACATCAGTAGAGTGGTGTGTGCCATGGTGAGTTTTGGGTGTGTCCAGGAAGGGAGGAAGCTGTCTGGGGGAGGAGCCCTGCCCACTCACAGTTGCCTCCTGCAATGGGGGTTTGAAGAGTCAAGAGGACCTTTGGCAAAACCATTTTGGATGTGACTGACACTGGAATGTGGGAATAACAGGTTTTCTCAACTGAGTTCTGAAATAGCTGGGCATGGACGTTCATCTCTATTAATTCCAAATTGTGTAGGAAGGTCTGATAGACACTGCTGAAACCCCCAAGACTGTACTGTGGTCCTTAGTCAGCCTTCAGGCCTGGAGTTGAACTCACTCCAATGGCTTCCAGCCAAACAACAGACAAGACTATAAGATGAACATTTACACCAGGTTAGAACACTCCTATGTTCTAAGGAGTATACCAGGAGTATACCATAGAACACTCCTATGTTCTAAGGAGTATACCAGGTAGGTATACTCCTTAGAACAATCAATCATGGGAGATCAAAAGAGCAGTATTGGCACAGGGAGATGGCTCAGATGGCAGGAATGCATAGGAAAGAAGGACACAGGGAAAAGGTAACCACAGGGAGGAAGTGGGAAGAAAGCTGTTGCATGATGAGAATTGCAATGTCATGAAACAAAATATATATGGATTGCTGTATGGAAAATGAATTTGCTTGGTAAACTTTCAGCCAAATCACAATTAAAAAAAAAAAAAAAAATTCTGTGGGAAGGACTGAGTGTAGCTCCAGTTTGGGAAATGGTCTAATTGTTCCTAGATTTCCTTTATTCTGAAGTATTTTTAAAAGCTCTCAGAACCAAGCAAGGTCTTGCCTGGAGAGTTTTAATAGTGGATAGAAACAGAATCATAAACTAATTAATATTGGAGCACAAGTCATAATAGCCAACCCCTTGCCCCCACTCCTTTACCCAGTAGGTCTGAAAATTCCCAGGTAAAATAAGGTCAAAAGTCTTCTTTTTGTCTCAGGCCCATGGGCTTTTGAAATCAGCCACATATCATGTCTTGCTGAATAAAAAGATGCTTCTAATGTTTCTGTATGTGGCTGCTCTTCAGATCAACAGCAATGATGACAATGGGGTACTCAATGGAAACTGGAGTGAGAATTATTCAGATGGCACCAACCCTGCAGAGTGGACCGGCAGTGTGGCCATCCTGAAACAGTGGCACGCCATGGGCTTCCAGCCAGTGCGCTATGGGCAGTGCTGGGTCTTTGCCGCCGTCATGTGCACAGGTAAGAAGACCTGCCCTGGAGTGGGAACGGTCCACAGAAAGACTAAAAAATAATAATAATAATACAAGAGTTCATGCAGTGGCCCTTCTGAATCATTCTTGCACCAGCCTCATCCAGTTTCCATTAAGGGATATTTGGAAGGAAGCCCTTTCCAGTTAAAATGTCCCATCATTGACCTTAGGATTAACACACTTTGAAGTACTTTAAAGGTAGAACTTCTCGGACCTGGCACTCTTCTTTTGTTCTGAGCTTGGCTAGTCCAATGGAATATTCCTAAGAGCTTGACTGAGAATTGTCCAGGTCCAAGATAGGAGATGAGAGCCCAAATAATTAGAAAACTTACAAACTGATTAGTACATCTAGAGCACAGAGAATGGACTTAACAATGATGTGCACATGAAGGAAAATGTGAATCTGAGTTGTGGTATAGGCTGTGGGCCACAACAAGATGGTATCATAATAAAATTAATTTGATTTAAAAACAAACAAATAAAAAAAAAAATTACCTTGATTTTGGAGTTGTCACCAGTTTCAGGGACCTGGAAGTTTAGGGGCTTGAGGAAAATAGGAAAGTGGCTGTTCAGGTAGGGGGTGGATGGTAAATTGTTGTTGATATGTGCCATCAAGTTGGACCCGACTCATAGTGACCCCTCCTTGGGTTTCCGAGGCAGTATCACTACAAAAGTAGATTGCCCAACCTTCCTTCCGAGGAGTGGCTGGTGGGTTTGAACCGCCAGCCTTCTGGTTAGCAGTCAAGTGCCTTAGGCACTACGCTACCAGAGCTCCTGATGGCAAATTAGTAGAAGAAAATCTGAAAAAGGGGGAAAGGAAGGAAAACAGAAGTTGGTTTATGCGTGGCAAGAGGAGCATGCAGAAGGAAGAGGGGAGGGAGAAGGAAGAATCTTGAAGGAACTGACATCTGGAAATGATTCACACACTGGAGGTAAGAGGAAAAGTGCAGACTCTTGCTCCTGGTTCTCTCTCCTACCTAAATGCCCACACCTAGGCCAGTTCTCAGCCTCTTGGCATACACATCCGTGTACCTGACTTGTGTCACAATCAGGAAGTTATTATTCTTGTTACTTGGAGAAAGAGGTCAATGCTAACAGCATTCTCTAGTCCAATCCAGGGAAACCAGATCTGCTTATAACTTAGTGTTTACTGAGTGTTCAGATCATCTGTATAGAAACTCTCTGTGGAACAAAGCTTGATGCACTCTGTGTGCATGTGTGTGATGTGTGCAGTGGGCTTATCTGTGCACTCTTGGAGTCCAGAGCTCCATGTGACCAGTTCTGAAGGAATCCCAGAGAGCCCTATGATGCTAAATTGCAAAGGAGAAACCCCAGGTCTCTCACAAAGGTATGAGGGGATTTCTGTCAGTTCCAATGGGGAGTGATTTTATATGTGTTGATGATGAAGTCCTGAGCATACTCCTCCTCTGCAGCTGGAGAGTCATATCTTGGGTTGCATACCTTGATTAGAAATAATCAAGGGATAAGAAAGAAGGAGTTCAATTTCTTTGACATTCAAAGTCATGGATATATGAGTGAACTGGGAGGTCTGAGGAAACAATTACAAGATTGACAGGAAGAGAACAAATATTGTGCAAGATAAAGAGGGAAAGACCTAGAGTCTAAGGGACCAGGTGTGTGCATGTATGTTTGTATGTGTGTATGTGTGTGTATAGGGGGAGAGAGCCATGGTATTTAGTGTGGTTGTCTAAAGCCAGGTGATAAGAGGTACGTAGAGCCAGTGAATGTAGAATATGCAACAAGAGTGGACCAATTATGAGAATCATGGCCCTTTAGTGACCTAGGAAGCAAAGGGTTGGGCAAAGTGAGTCAAATGTGCCCTCTCCAGCCGTGCTAGCCTTCCGCAAAAGGGTCACTATGTCATATACTGAAAAATATATCATTTTGAGAAGCTCATTCATTCATCTAGCAACATGTAATCTGTGCCAGGCACTGTACTCCAAGTACTTTTGGATAAAAAGATGAGTAAGACTCAGCCTCTATCTTCTACCAAAGATAAAGTTTAGGATTTAGTCAAATTCCTTAACCCAATAAGTTATTGTTGTTAGGTGTCATCAAGTCAGACCCAACTCACAGCAACCCCTCCTTGGGTTTCTGAGGCAGTATCACAAAGGAAGTAGATTGCCCAACCTTCCTTCCAAAGAGTGGCTGGTGGGTTTGAACTGCCAGCCTTCTGGTTAGCAGTCAAATGCCTTAGGCACTCAAAGCATGTCTATTATTATTATTTCACAATTGCAATAGCTGCTCCTTATTGAGGACTTCTTTCGTGTCAGTCATTGTGCTAAAAGCTTTTCAGCCTAGAATTATTGTGAAGCATGTGAGCACTAGAGTCAGAATGCTTGGGTTCAAATACCAGCACTACCATTAATTGACTGGGTAACCTTGGGCAAGTCACGTAAATTGTGCTTCAGTTTCCTCAAATATATGATGGGGAAAATAATGGCACCTAACTCCTAGGACTAGTGAAGGACTGATTGAATGAGTTCATACATACAGAATGCTTAGACTAGTGCCTAACTATGGTGATTATTCGGTTGCAAGTATCACCTTGTTTGATCCTCCAAATGACCTTATGGGGTAGGTTCTATCACCATCTCCACGTTACAAATGAAGATAGTGAGTTAAAGATCCATCTCACCTCCAGGTCTGGCTGTCTCTGCAGACCACCGTCTCTACTGCCTCACAAACAGAGCTAGCCATCTATCCAACACCCATTGTATTTCAGACACACACTGGGCACTTTCATTATTTCTAATCCTCATAACCATCTGCAGAGTAGGCATCATTACTGTCATTTTACAGATAAGAAAATTGAGACTTAAAGTGACCAAGTGACTCTTCTGACATTCTGCCCTCTATAACTCTGCCTCCCAGTGTTACCCAATGTCAACATATTAAGTTTGACTTATTAAAGAAAAAAAATCATAAAAAGAGGCTTTTTATGTATCAAAGATATGGTTATAATTTTGATTGGCTGAACCTTGTCATCCATTTAGTTAGCTGTTACTTTGAATATTTCTGCAAAAAGCCTTTGCCTACCTTTCAGGGTCAACTGCCCCACAGCTTTAGGTAATCAGGGTCTCTCTATTCTGGCTGGCCACTCCTATGACAGGGGTAAGACCCTCAGTTCTTGGCTGAGGTCTATAAAGTAGTCTGGATGCCTTGCACTATAAAAGGAACAGAAGAGACAGCGATGTTCTGTTGCCTGAAAATTCTCACCAAAATCCAAGTGTCAAAAGGTCACATATCATATGATTCCACATACATCAAATGTCCAGACCAGGCAAATTCTTGGAGAGAGAAAGTGTACACTTTAAAGGGGTGAATTTTGTGCCATGTGAATTATATACAAAAACCAAGCCAAACTCACTGCAGTTAAGTCAATTCTGACTGACAGCAACCCTTATAGGACAGAGTAGAATTGCCTCAGTTTCCAAGTCTAAATCTTTGTGGAAGCAGAGTGCAACATCTTTTCTCTGTGGAGCAGCTGGTGGATGTGAATCCCTGACATTTTGGTTAGTAGCCAGCACTTTAACCACTGTCCCACCAGGGATCCTTATATATCAGTAAAGCTGTTACTAAAACAAAAAGCAGGCATCCTGGGAATGTGCCTGGTCTGCTCTTGCCCATAACTTCATGGGGCAAGGGCAGGGAGGTGTGTGTGGGGAAGATTTGGGCTTAAGGTTGGAAGACGCTAAGGTGTGACTGAGTAGGTCCCTAGGGCATCATCCTCTGCATTGTAAAATGGGGCTGTGGACCCTGGGAGACACAGTGGAAAATGGGTGGTGGGAAATAGGGTGAGGGATAGGAAAGTAGCCTGGTTAAGACTAGACCCTACAACCAGAGCAGCCCCTCTTGCATATCTTTTGTATGTTGGAGCCACATTTATGATTTGGCTTATATAAAGGATCCTTTCCTTAATTTTTTTTTAAAACTCCTGGACTAGATGTTATCTAAGATTTCTTCTAACTCAAATGTGTAGTGGACTCTACAGAGTACCTAATTATCTCCATTTCAATACAATAACCCTTGATCTCATTGGGAGCCACTAGCATTCAAAGAAAGAACCTCAGCCAAACCCTGATAGTAGCTATGTTTCTTTGCCCAACTTTTCTTTAGATTCCAGTCCAAACCTCATTTACAATGCCCTGGTAGATTTGTACAACCTACTATTACTTTCCATTGATTCATGAGATATCAAGGTTTGTTTGGGATTTTTCGTCATAGGGCTGTTGTTGTTGTTATATGCTGTCGAGTCAGCCCCGACTCATAGCGACCCCTCCTTGGGTTTCCAAGGCAGTATCACTATGGAAGTAGATTGCCCCATCTTCCTTTCGAGGAGTGGTTTGAACTGCCAGCCTTCTGGTTAGCAGTCAAGTGCCTTAGGTACTATGCTACCAGAGCTCCTAATATGTGGCTACCACTTAGAAAAGTGTCTGGCACATAGTTAGCTTTACATAAGTGTCATTTATTATCATTAGTCTGATACTGTCTTAATCTCTGTATCTTGAGCTCTGGGTATGTCTAGGGTCTGGTTGGGTATTGCTCAGAGGTGCTTCTAGCCATCCCCCAAACTTTGGTTCTCATCGCTTTTTTTTTTCCCTTTCTTTTTTGCATTCCTTCCTTCCCTGGAGTATTGAGGGTTAAATTAATTATATTCCTCATTTCATGACATTTATTACAATAGATTTGTTCCAGGTCTGTGGTAGTTAAGTTTGTATGTCAACTTGGCTGGGCCTGATTGAGTGGCTGGGCAGCTGGATATAGTATTCCCCATGATGAGACTGGTAATCAACTCCATGGTGTAATCTACTGTGAGCAGCTGAGTAGCTGCTTTAGGGATGTGGTCTACTTCCTGTATATAAGGACAAGCCTTGGGGAACAGTCTCTAGCTTATGGCATGCTTGAATCCTGAGTATAGCCATGTTGTTGTTCAGCAGCCTGCCATGCTCTGCTGACCTTGGGACC